AGAGAGAGGATAGAAAATATAAATGTTTAAACAGCTAATAAAAGGAAGTAGTAGTAAAAAGCGTAATGAAGATGAAGATGTTAAAATGGAAGAATTTATAGATGTAGAACAACAAATAGAAAATTTAAGAAAGAGAAATTAGAATTAATTCTAGCTAAATACATATATAAGCTAGGTAAGATTCAATAAAAACAAATATCTATTTAACACTATGGTGAAACAGATGATTAGTGTAACTCATGAAGATGAAAAAATAGAGCTAAATTTGATAAAGTAGAGAAAGCTATAAATATGCAGTAAAAGAACACCTTAAAATGACTCATTTAGGATTAGTTGTGGTAGGAGTTAAAGCTTTAACCAGAGAAAATTTAGGACCAAAGTCTTTGTATGTCTTAATGATGATAGGTTTAATGGTGTAAGATAGAGTATTTTAGGCAGCTATGAATTAGATATGAATTCAAAAGGCGGTATAGTTTTATTTTACACCAGATTTCTTATTACCAACCTCGACCTTTCATAAAAAGAATAAAATAGGAATAAAGAGTAGAGGATACAATATGAAAAAAGGAGAAAAGAATTATTAGTTTGCACAGGATTTTTAGGTTTAGCAGTTTCAGAAAGCAATACCCACTATAGACTTACAAATGATCAGATAGTTAAGTTATTAGGCGCGCAAAAGGAATAAAAGCATTACCAGCTAAAAAGTTTAGTTCTGAAGATAATGAAGCATTAGATTGGAAATTAGGAGACTTTCTAGGACAAAAAAGGTTAGCCCCTCAAGATAATTTTTATATCAGACAGCAGATGGAAATTATGCAGTAAGATTTACTCAGTATACCTATGTAGCACCAGAAAAGTCTAAAGATGATGAATTTAGCAGTATAGATAGGAAGAAATCAGATAATCGTAGTGAAATAAATCAGCTTTATGTAATGGCAGAAGAAAAAACTATGTCACAAAATAAGATATATAATATGATGAGATAGATTTAGAAAAATTTACCCTAGAAAGACATGAATAAAATATTAGATGCTAGATATTATGAATACTTAGCTAGAGGAGATACCCACGACGAAGCAGTGTCATTTTTGGATCAGGAATTTTCATACAGAATATGTAGATGATATCATAAGAGATTAATATACATCCTAGCAAAATATTTAGAATACCAGAACAATTTAACCTAGAAGATGCTTTTATATGAATACAGAAAGCTCAAGAACTAATAACCCACAACCAATTGTAGAGGATCCCAATCTAGTAGAACCAATGCATTATGCAGTAGGAGGAAGAAGACCATTAGCTAGTTCAGGGCGTAGTAAGGCAGACCCAAATAAAAGTTATAGGTTTCATGGAAAGCGTAGACAACTAGATATGAGTATACAATTACAGCTAGTCAATAATCAAGGAACCCTTTTAGATTTAGCCAGATTCGACCCTCAGATATGGCAGGAAGTAATAGAAAGATGGGAAAAAGATGCAGTAAAAGCATGGATGACCAGTCCCTATGAATCAACGGATATGTGAGAATATATGGAGACACTTCTAGGAGATTCAGCTTATAATATTTATTTAACTTTCAAAGGAAAATATGAAGAAACAATTAAACAGTTCAAAGAGTTAAGAAATAACCCGTGAAATTTTACCAATTTTATTAAAGAAATACTTATAGGATATCATCCTTCTAGAGGAAATGATTCCGCTCAAAGCGTAGCATTAACTGAGTTAGACCAAATAACATTAGGAAGTTGGAAATATATTGTACCTTTTAGTAAAGAGTACTTAGCCATAGCAGCAAGAACTGGAAAAAGTTTTGATGAAGAAATAGGAAATAAATATTTTAGAAAATTACCAGGAGAACTAAGAAGAGAGATAGAAAATAAATGGTCAGTTTATTATGCGAGTTTACCAGCAAAAATAGCCATAGAAGAATTAAGAATAAGAGGAACTTTAGGAATAGGACCTAGAAGAGAAGAGGCCAGGTAGCTGCTGCACCAGCAGTGACGATGTGGCTTGAAGAGCTTGAAGCCATCAACAAGGAAGTGAATTCAATAGAAGCACAGGTACAACAAGGTAACCTTTGTCCAACAACTCCAAGTTGCTGCTGCCTTGGCTGTACACTAGGTGAAAAAGTATCCAAGAGCCTCACCGAGGTTAGAAGACTCATTGAAGCCGTCAAGTTTTTTTCTAATAGCATGGTGGTTGAAAATTGCCAATTGAAAATAGTTGAGCACATCCCGGGGCCTTCAATCATTGGCCAATCGACAGCTTCCAAAAATCTAATCAAGGTTATGAATTTGTTGAATGATGACGATGATGGTGCAAGTAAGATCGGCGTTTGGGGTATGGGTGGAGTTGGCAAGACTACTCTAGTCAAGAACTTGAACAACCAGCTCGAGACTGCTTCTGCTGCTTCTTCTCTTGCTCAACCTTTCAGCATCATTATATGGCTCACCGTCTCCAAGGAATTGGACCTGAAAAGGCTCCAAACACAACTCCTGGAAAGATTGAATTTGGTGGTAAAAGCAGGGGAAAACATGGAGAGTTCTGCAAGCAGACTTCATAAACGACTTAAAATGGAGAAACGATTCCTCCTCATTCTAGATGATGTTTGGGAGGCAATTGATTTGGATTATCTAGGTGTCCCACAAGAACAACCAGAATTTCAACTGGGAAACAAGGTAATACTGACCTCTCGATCTTTGGATGTTTGTCGGCAGATGAAGACGGATATAGATGTTAAAGTGGATGTTCTAAGCGAGGAAGAATCTTGGCAACTGTTTACTCAAAATGCTGGGAAGGTAGCCACTCTACCACATATTGAACCGATTGCAAGGAAAGTTAGCAAAGAATGTAGTGGATTGCCCCTAGCCATCATCATTGTTGGGGCTTCCATGAGGGGGAAGACAACGGAGACATTGTGGAACGATGCCTTAAATGCTTTGGAAATGTCTGTGCCTAGCGTCAAAGGAATTGAGGATAAGGTGTACAAGCCTCTCAAATGGAGTTACGATTCATTGTTTTTCCAAGATATGGATATCAAATCTTGTTTTTTGTATTGCTCCTTATATCCAGAGGACTTTTCAATTCAAGTAAGGGAACTTGTGCAATGCTGGATTGCGGAAGGCTTGTTGGTAGTACGAAAAAGCTATGAGGATTCAATGAATAGGGGAATTGCTTTGGTTGAAAATCTCAAGGACTCTTGCTTGCTAGAAGATGGTATCTTCAACCACACTGTGAAGATGCATGACGTAGTTCGTGATGTAGCCATATGGATTGCGTCCTCCTCGAAGCTTTATGGATGTAAGTCCTTTGTTCAGTCAGGAATCGGTTTGAATCAAATTTCAGAAGCTGAATTGTCAAAATCTCTCAATAGAGTTTCTTTCATGGAGAACAAAATAACAAGGTTGCCTGATTGTGCAATACGATGCCCAAAGGTATCAAGTCTACTTCTACAAGGTAATCTTCCTCTTGAGATAGTTCCAGAAGGATTCCTGCTTGGATTTCCAGCACTTAGAGTCTTGAATCTGAGTGAAACTCGCATTCATACACTACCTCTTTCAGTTATCCAATTGCGTAAACTCAAGGCTCTTCTGCTACAAGGATGTCAGAACCTCAAAGAATTACCCCCACTTGGAACACTTCATAGGTTACAAGTTCTCGATTGCTCTTCCACTAATCTTGAGGCATTGCCAGAAGGAATGGAAAATTTAACTGATCTAAGGCTGTTAGATCTGTCAGAAACTCACCACTTGAGACATATTCCATATGGAATTATATCCCAGTTGTCCCGTTTAGAAACTATAGACATGACAAATAGTTTCTACAAGTGGGGTGGGAAGAGACCAAAGGAAGAATTGGAAAAAGCACCAATTGATGAGCTAGGATGCCTCAACCAATTGATTGCTCTATACATTAACCTGAACAGCTCGTATCTCGCCTTTGAAGATCTTTCTTGGATAAAAAGATTAAAAAGATTCCATTTTGTCATTGGTCATGCTGATGAAAAACTTCTAGTACAACAAAAATATGAGGAAAAGAGGGTTACTCTTTGTCGGGTTGATTTCTTTGGGGAATGTTATTGGGTTACGCAACTGTTGGAAAATGCAAGTAATCTGACTTTGGATTATTGTCAAAATCTAGAAGAGATACCTGCAGGCTTGGCGAACAAATGCTACTGTTTTATTGGTTTGAAATCACTAACTATCACAGATTACCATGGTGATATTCTACCAGCAAGAGAAAGCTGTGATGACCAATTTGACCTCTTACCTAATCTTCAGGAACTTGTTCTCAATGAAGTGTCTTCTCTAAGGTCCATTTCAGAACTAGCTCACCTTCTCGAACTCCGACTTTCTAAACTAAGAAAAATAAGTTTGTCCTATTGTAGCAGTTTAGAATATCTTGTCTCTTCTAGTGGGACTTTGAAAAATCTAGAAGAAGTCACCGTTAGCTATTGTAGGAAGTTTGCAGAGCTCTTTGAGAATGCTAGTTCAAGCGAGTCTTTTGAGGACCTTCCTGAGCATGCTACTTCAAGCCAGACATTAGTTCCGAGTTGCATTGTTCCAAACCTACGGATAATGAAATTGAAAAATCTTCCCGAATTAACCACCCTATGCGGACAGCACCAGTCATGGCAGCATCTAGAGATACTTGAAGTGATCAATTGCAATCAAATCAAAAAGTTGCCATTCACTACCCAAAATGCAAATGCCATAGAAGAAATAAGAGGTGACTTGCAATGGTGGAACGATTTGGAGTGGGACGAAGAAGATACAAAATCAAGTCTGCAGCAGTATTTCAATCCTTGTTGGTGCTGAAGGTATATGCTTTCGAGACTGCTCAAGGAATTCACATGTCTGTCGCTCTGCTGAGTAGCAAAGCAAGTCAAGAAGAATAAAGAAAATGGAGCTCTGTATTTGTGTACTCAAGAGCCACGCTTTTGAAGCTCAATGCAGGTTGGACTTTCTCCAACTAGCTCGGAAAGTGTTGTTTTGGGCGAGTGAGCGAAGCATTTTCAGAAAAATATTGAGAGGTAATTCCATTTTAGTTTTGTGCAAGTTCTTGTAACACCTCTTGAGTTTTAGGCAAATAGTTGGTGTGAATGTTGCACTTGCCCTTGTGTGGATTTTCCCTTGATTGAAGAATGTGTATGCCCATTACTTGGGTGCTCTTGTGTTGTGTGATTGTTCAGTTGTTTGATTACTTCATCTCTTAACTCTAGTTTCTTAATGATAATGTTACTGCTTTTGTTCTTTGGCATTGTGACTTTGTGCTTGGGGTTCCTTCGGAGTTTTGAGTTCCTAAATCCTAATACCCGCTGAACTTTATTCTGTTTCACCATTACTTAAGCAACAACGGGGTTGAAGAAGGAGCTAGCTACTTTGAACCATCCTGAGGTCTTCAGTATAAAGCCTATGAAGTATTGAGAAAAAGATAAAAGGAAGTATTCATAGTTACAAGATAAATTAACTGGACCAAACTCAGTCCTTGGGCAATTCAACTCTTGTTGTGTTGCGAGTACCCTATATACCTTAATGCTGTGTTTGGTTAGAAAATTTGAGGAGAGATTTGGAAAGGGAAATGAAAAAGGTAAGTGAAATGTGAATAAAATATACTTACATTTTACTTAGTTTAACTCCTTTTAGTCCTTGTGTGAATCCTACATTTTTTACCTTCTACATTCTTTTCATGTAATGTGATGGCAGAGGTATTTGATTTTTAATTCCATTAACTTTACAGAAAGTATACGCAAACCCGCTGACTCTGATGAGTTGTTCATAAAATGATTAATTGACTTTAATTTTAAATGACGATTTCTGAGTATTAATAATGTGATTGATAACTAATGGCTCCTTCGTCATTCTATGCGTTTTTTTGGACTTGCATGTTTTTCTTGACTTGGTGGAATTCATAGGATGCAGGAAACTTCAAAGAAAAGAGGAGGAAGAGGCTCTTACGCGTTGCCAAAAAACACAACCAAAAAAAAAAAGACTATGGCTAATTAACTTTAAATTACTTTTCATAGCTCCTATTTGGTATTCTTTTCTTTTTCAAATTAGAAGGATAATTAAAAAGTAAAAATTAAAGCGTTTAGTTTTTAAGTTTATTTAATAAGTAGAAACTGCAGTCTTACGCGTGTGTAAATATTTTAAATATCTTCTTCTTTGTTTTTTGGGTAATTGTATTTAATGCACTGATAATAGAGCAGTACTCATGGACTAAAAATGAGAAAATTATAAGACAGTAGGCAATAAAGAAATTATTTATCAAAATGTCATAGTGCAATATTTGTTGTGATTTTTTTCATAGAAAAAATTACACTCCCCATATATTTATAATTATTTTTAATCTTTTTTACTAATTTGTAATTTTTCTAATAAAAATACTCTATGGGAAATCAGAAATAACAAGTCTTCTGATTCTGTTTCATTATTTATTCCAAAAAATAAAAAATAAAAATTCCATTTCATTGTGAAATTTCTTCATCATCATCACTCTTCCAACATTTGATTGTGTTTGCATCTCACTAGTTACGATATCTGCGATCACTTCATGGCTGGAGGACTTGTAGCGGTTGGTCAGCATTTTTGTGGCTTTATCTATCCTAAGATCAAGAGCATGATCAGATCCCGATCAAACCTCGAAAAACTCAGGAAGGAAATGGGAAATCTATTAAGTCTTGGAAACAACTTGAAAGGACAGATTGAGGCAGCAGAAGAAGTGGCCATGTAGCTGCACCAGCAGTGACCAAGTGGCTTGAAGAGTTTGAAAACATCAAGAATGAAGTGAATTCCGTAGAAGCAAGTGTGGAATCCAACGGCGGTAAATGTTGTCCAACAACACCAAGTTGCTGCCTTGGCTGTACACTGGGTGTCAAAGTAGACAAGAACCTCACTGGGGTTAGAAGACTCATTGAAGCTGCCAATTTTCCAAGTGGCATGGTGGTTGAAAACTACCAAGTGAAAAAAGTTGAGCACATCCCGGGGCCTTCAATTGCAGGGCAATCGACAGCTTCCAAAAATCTAATGAAGGTTATGGATTTGTTGAGTGATGATGATGGTGCAAGTAGGATCGGCGTTTGGGGTATGGGCGGCGTTGGCAAGACTACTCTGGTCAAGAACCTGAACAACCAGCTCGAGACCGCTGCTTCTTCTGCTCAGCCTTTCAGCATCATTATATGGGTCACCGTCTCCAAGGAATTGGACTTGAAAAGGCTCCAAACACAACTCCTGGAAAGATTGAATTTGGTGGTAAAAGCAGGGGAAAGCATGGAGAGTACAGCAAGCCAACTTCATGAACGACTTCAAAAGGAGAAAAGATTCCTCCTCATTCTTGATGATGTTTGGGAGACAATTGATTTGGATTATTTAGGTGTCCCACAATGTGATGAATTTCACATGGGACACAACATAATTTTGACCTCTCGCTCTTTGGATGTTTGTCGGTAAATGAAGACAGATACAGATGTTGAAGTGGATGTTCTAAACGAGGAAGAATCTTGGCAACTGTTTACTCAAAATGCTGGGAAGGTAGCTGGTATACAACATATTGAGCCAATCGCAAGGAAAGTTAGCGGAGAATGTGGTGGATTGCCCCTAGCCATCATCATTATTGGGGCTTCCATGAGAGGGAAGACAACAGAGGCATTGTGGCACGACGCCTTAAATGCTTTGCAAAGGTCAGTGCCTCGCATCAAAGGCATTAAGGATAAGGTGTACAGGCCCCTCAAGTGGAGTTATGATTCGTTATTTTTTCAAGGTATGGATATCAAATCTTATTTCTTGTAATGCTCTTTATAACCAGAGGACTTTGAAATAGAAGTGAAGGAACTTGTGCAATGCTGGATTGCTGAAGGTTTGGTAGATGATGAACTACGAAACTGTGAGGATTCAATGAATAGGGGAATCGCTTTGGCTGAAAATCTCAAGGATTCTTGCTTGTTGGAAGAAGGTATTACAATGGAAACAGTGAAGATGCATGACATAGTTCGTGACATCGCCCTATGGATTGCATCCTCTTCCTCCTCGGAGTCAGATGGATGTAATAATAGGTCACTTGTTCAGTCAGGAATTGGTTTGAATCGAATTTCAATGGGTGCATTGTCAAAATCACTCGAGAGTTTCTTACAATGATATGGCAATGTTACCTGATTGTACAACACAATGTCCAATGGTATCAAGTTTGCTTCTACAAGCTAATTTTTGTCTTCAGATAGTTCCAGAAGGATTCCTTCTAGGATTTCAAGCACTTAATGTCTTGAATCTGAGTCGAACTCACATCCGTACACTGCCTATTTCCCTTGTCCAGTTGAGTCAACTCCGGGCTCTTATACTACGAAGATGTCAAAGACTCGCTAAATTACCCCCGGTTGGAAATCTTTGTAATTTGGAAGTGCTTGATTGCTCTTCCAGTGATCTCGAGTTATTGCCAGAAGGAATGGAAAATTTAACCAATCTCAGGCTATTAGATCTATCAAAAACTTCCTTGAGATATATTCCAAATGGAATTATATCCCAGTTGTCCCGTTTAGAAATTATAAACACGACAAAAAGTTTCTACACTTGGGGTGCGAGGAGTGAGTTAGAAAGGGGACAAACACCATTTGATGAGCTACAATGCCTCGACCGATTGAGTGCTCTATTCATGAACTTCAATTCCTATAACCTCGCATTTGAAGATCTTTCTTGGATAGAAAGGTTAAAAAGATTCCATGTTGTCATTCATAAAAGTCCAACTAATGCAAAAGCATTACAAGTGATGAGGTGGTCTAACAGGGCTACTAGTACTGACTCTGATAAGAATTGGATGAAGTCGTTGGTGCAAAAAGCAAATCTGCAAACAATTCCTACAGACTTCCCCAAAGAATATCGATTTATTGGTTTGAGATCACTAACTATGACAGATTGTGACCTAAATTTTCAACCAGCAAGAGTTAGTGGTACCAAATTTTACCCATTACTGACCCTTGAGGAACTTATTCTCCTTCGTCTGGGTTTAGAGTCCATTTCAGAACTAGTTCACCATCTCCATTTGAGATTTTCTGAACTTAGAATAATAAAAGTGTCTGAATGTTACTACTTAAAAAATCTCTTCTCTTCAACTAGTATTACACCGACTTTAAAAAATCTAGAAAAAGTCACAATTAGCCATTGTAGGAAGTTGGTGGAGCTCTTTGAGAGTGCTAGTTCAAGCCAGTCATCTGAGGGGTTGTTAGAGGAGCTTGTTGAGAATGCTACTTCAAGCCAGACATTGATTCCGAGTTGCATTGTTCCAAACCTACGGATAATGAAATTGAAGGAGCTTCCCAAATTAGCGACCCTGGGCGGGCACCACCAGTCATGGCAGCATCTAGAGAAACTTGAAGTGATCCATTGCAATCAAATCAAGAAGTTGCCATTCACTACCCAAAATGCAACTGCCATAAAAGAAATAAGAGGTGCATCGCAATGGTGGAATGATTTGGAGTGGGATGATGAAAATACAAAATCAGGTCTACAGCAGTATTTCAAGCCCTATTGATGCTGGAAGGTGCAGGCTTTCGGGATTGCTCAAAGATTTCACAAGTCTATTGCATTGCTGGGTAGCAAGTCAAGAATAAACTGAAAGGAGCTGTGCATTTGTCTACTCAAAGGCCATGCTTTTGAAGCTCAATGCAGGTTGAACTTTCTCCAACTAGCTCGAAAAGTGTTCGTTTGGGAGGTCAGTCCAGTTTACTTTCTGCGAGTTCTTGTAACATGTTGAATTTAGGCAAAATTTTTGAATGAATATTGTAGTTGCCCTTGTGTGGAATTTCCCTAGGGTGGACAATTGTATATGTCCATGACTGGGTGCTCGTGTTGTGTGATTGTTCAGTTGTTTGATTACTTATCTCTTACTCTTATTGTCATTTTCTGTTAGTTTATATATGATGGTGTTGGTTGCTTTTGTGATTGGGCATTGTGACCATGTGCTTGTGATGGTTTCATTTCTTTGAATCACAAACTTGCTTTGTTTGAAAAGTGAGACATGAAGTTCCTCTGGAGTTTTGAGGTCCTAAATCCTGGTACGGCCTTTAAAACTGTATTCTATTTCACCATTGGCAATACTTAGGGACAGAACCTCCTTAAGCAACAGGCTGAAGGATTCATTGCAAAGCCTATGAGAAGGATATGAGAAAATATATTAGTGTTGGAATTGTAAGTTACAGGAATAATTGACTCAGTCCCTAGGCAATTCAAAACTCTGGTTGTGCATGAGTACCCTATACCCTCAAGGGTGTTCTACCAACATGGAAATTCAACTATCAGAGACAACCTTTAACATGATTGTTTGTTTCTTTTTGTGGTCCTTCACTTCTTTGAATGTTGCCAGTGCTTAATTCGAGAAATTTTACAGCTGCTCAAAAGAATTTCATTTGATTTTCCCAAGGCCGTTACATGGTTCATGGGTTTGGAAAAGATTTGAAAAGAGAAAGAAAAAATGTAAATAAAATATATTTACATTTCACATTTTTTTTTTTTTTTTAAATTTCTTCTCAAATCCATGAACCAACACTACCTGAGAAAAACAAAAACATGCTGAAAAAACTAACAAAGCTAAAATCAAAGATTAGGGTATTTTTCACTAAAAACAAAAAATTTCCCAGGCAACAAGGGCCACTCTTAAATTAATCTACCAATTAATCATCTGTCATGGACCAAACTCCAATTTACAACTATTTTAACGGATTAAAAGCTAGAAAGTACGGATACGGATACGAGGTATGGATACGATACGATACGGATACGGTGATATAGCAAAATCTAAAAAGGTAAGATACGGGTACGATTAAGATACGTTTGTAAAAAATAATAAATAAATAAATTATTAGTAGTGAGCTACACATAAACTTAAGAATATTGAGAAATCACAATAACTTTATGATGCAAAATACTAATATTTAAGAATTAGGTATTAATTTAAGACAGTAGCTAGTTTTGTTTTTAAATTTTCAATAGGTCTTGCAAATATTTCATTTCAATATCAAGTATAATATGTTGATATTATATAATATCAAAACAATCCACAACTTGACCATATGCTTTTTCTTTTTGCACTAGTAAAAAATATTCGATACAAGTTTATTTGCTTATTTATTTATTGATATTTAATTTTACTATTGTTATATTATCTTATTAATCCTTACTTCTATATACTTATAGGGGACATGCATGATACAATGAAAATATGTCAATTTGATGAATTCTATTACTTTAACTTACTATATTATTTTTATTAAAAAACTAAGCAAAGTATTGTAAAAATATTATATTTATCTTCGTAATTATATTATATTATGATGTTATGCAAGAAATGATACAATTCTAATTTTGTAAAAGGAGTAATATGTGACTTCGAGTATTTAATACTTCAAAATTAATTAAAAAGTTTTCGATAATATGTGACTTAGAGCATCATATACTTCAAAATTAAGTATCCGATACTTCAAAATTATTAAAAAATTAATTAAAAAATATCTGATACTTTTAATAAATATCTAATATGTATCTGTAAATATTTTAAAAAATATCAATATCTAATATAGATACGCCTTCCTATTTAAACTACCTTCATAGATTAAAAGTAAAGCTGTAACGTGCCATACACATAAAAACATTAAAACCACATACATTAATCTAAAAAGAATGACAAAAGGATACAATAAAAAAAAAGTCAAATTCACTTCAGATATACTACAGTAACCTAACCTTTAAAAACTCTTTACAACAATTTTTCTTTTCTTTTTTCTAATTCATGCCTTGTCCAAAACAATATATATCTTCTCTTTTTTATACTCCTTTTTTGGGGGGGGGGGGGGGGGGGTTGTTTGGAAATTGTCCTCCTCTTAATATTATAATATATACTCATATATATATAAGTTCCACAAAAGAAAAATAAATACAAGCATTAAATTTAGTGTTTAAATCCACATGGACTACGCAACTTGACAAAGAATGCACTCAAATATGAAAGGGGATTTGGTGATAGATCTCTTGGGGTATAACTTGTCCTTCAAAAGAATAAGAATTATATAGATCCTTTCAAAATCTTCTAGTATTTTAAAATTTATTTCTTTTACTATAATACCTTCATATATATATATATATATATGTGTGTGTGTGTGTGTGCGCGCGTGTGTGTATATCAACTTGTAATCACTCTCTCATCTAAATCTCTCTTCTGTCTGTCTCGCACTTATTACTATTCTCTTCATCGGTGCCATCGTTGCTCTCCATCGGCACCACCGCCGCTCACCATGGAACTCTTTCTCTACCGTCTTCATCACTACCATTATTTGTTGCATCCACAACTTCAGATCTGAGATCATTCACAATTGTCGTCACTTGAAAATGATGATTTGCGACGGTTTGCAAACCTCAAATCTGAGATCCTTCACTCTCTCTCTCTCTCTCTCTCTCTCTTTGGTTTTGATGGTTCGTGCTCTATCTCTCTCTTTTTTTTCTTCTTCTTCTTCTTCTCTTGATCCCCTATTTTCGAACTCTGTCTCTCTATCTCTCTTTCTTCTTCTCATGATGCTCTGTTCCTTCAATAGTAAAATTTTGCTCTGGTTCATGACACAAAACTCTTCTGTAAAGCCATCATCATAGCTTGTTTCAAAGTAAAATTTTACTTTGAATTATAATAAACTTTATTTTGATTTAGAGTAACATTTACTCTGTAATTAAAACAAAAAAAAAGACAAATTAAATTTATTTTGATTCAAAGTAAAATTTTACTATCATTAAGCAGATCAGTATGTTGTTAATCAGAGTAAAATTTTATTATAACGAAACAGAGTACATATTAAATAAACAAACCAAAGTCAAATTTTACTTTTTGATCTATGAACAAACAAACAAACAAAAAACTCTTAGGCTCTGTTTGGTAGAGCTTTGGAACTTTAGTTCCAGTCATTGGTTCTCACGTGTTGTTTGTTTGCAGCTTTTAAAAATTACATTCCGGGAAATTCTATAGTGGATATCTCTTCGTGGACGTAGGCAATTGCCGAACCACGTAAATCTCGTGTTATTGTGTGTGATTGATTTCTGGTGCCTCATAATCCTAACAAGTGGTATCAGAGCCGAGTTGGTCACGTTTCGGAAAAACATAGTGCGAGTTTTCGAAACTGTCAGAAATCAAGTTACTCGAAATTCTCTTTTGAGCACACCAAGAGAAAGGTCTGACGAGAGGAGTCTAGACCTAGAAAGAACAGACAAAATGGAGGTCGGCGTGGCCTACACGCGCTGGTCAAAGTCAGGAGCGTAAAGTTAACTTCGAACCAGAAGCCCACGTGCGGCTAGAGGTTGAAATTCTATAGCCAATCCAAATACTTTAATTATTTTCCTGCGGAAATTACACCACAACAGTTTGGCATAGTGGTTAAGTCTTGTGCTCATAACTCCACGGTCTGGAGTTCAAGTCTTGCAAAGAGCATAGTGCCATGTATCTGCCACGTTAGCTGCCACGCCAGCCAGATTGCCACGTGTCTGAAACGTCATCAGCCACGTCATCACATGGGAGTTATCCAGATCTGAGGCGTCCAAACTGTTTTGACTTAATCTGAGCCATTCAGAGTCCGTTTCTGACGATCTAATAGTGCTTTCTAATTATTTGGAGTATTTCAGACACATCCGTACGGTCAGATTGTTGAATCAGAATTTCTGTAAAAACAAAGAAGTTTAAAATGGCAAGAAGAGGTGCAAGTTTCATGATAGAGCCTTTTAATGGTAACAATGACTTTACTCTGTGGCAGCAAAGAGTAAAAAATATTTTAACGCAAGAGGGCTCGACATGCAGGATGACAAGTGGGAGGAGTTGAGAGAATTGGCAAACAATACAATCCAGTTATACCTCGGGAACAACACACTCAGAGAAGTCATCAATGAAGTAGATCCGGTAGAGCTATGGGCAAAGTCTTTGGCAAATCGGTTATCTTTGAAGAAGCAGCTGCATACATTTCAAATGCTAGAATGAGCGAACCTTACAGAACATCTGGACGAGTTTAACAGGATCACAATAGAATTGGACACTATTGGGGTGAAGACCGAGGAGGAAGTTAAAACTATTATCTTGCTGGTCTCCTTACCTTCATCATATGAGCATCTCAAGACTACTCTATTGTACGGGAAGGATACTCTTGGACTAGATGAGGTTGTTGCTACGCTTATTTCTCATGAGACAATGAAGAAAAAGTAAAGTATCAAGTACCTAGAAGGAAATGCCATGGTTGCATCAGAAAATGAGCAAGGCAGACGCAGGTCCAATGATAGACGGGGTAGATACAAATCCAGAAGACGTTCACAATCAAGACAGGGCTACATGAAAAAGTGCTATTACTGTGATCAGGAGGATCACCTCATTAAAGACTATGCAAAGCTCAAAAAGGACAAGACAAACAATGAACATGCGAGCTCATCAAATGTCACTGCTGTAGTGGATGCTGAAGAAGAGTATATACTCACAGTTTTGTTGAGTATAATGAAACATGATTGGATTTTAGATTCCGTAAGTACATACCATATATGCATAGATATGAAACTTTTTTCCACTTACCAAGCAAAGGACGGAGATATTGTTCGTGTGGCTAACAACACTATGAGTAAGATTATTGGCATGGGAACAATACGGCTCCGAATGACAGATGGAAAAATTTTCATGTTGGATGGAGTCCGACATGTGCCGAGATTGAAGAATAATCTAATTTTCTTAAGTATGCTAGACATGAAGGGTTACAGCTTCTCATCTAGTAAAGGAAATCTCAAAGTTATCCATGGAGATACGGTGTTGCTGCATGGACAACTAGAGGGAAATCTGTACAGGCTTGTTGAAGAGGCTGTGACAGAAAGAGCTACTGTCACTTACCGGGCAAGAAATACAAGACATGCACCGAAAAGACATATTGAAAAGGTTGTGACAGAAGGAGCTACTGTCACTTACCAGGCAAGAAGTACAAGATATGCACCGAAAAGACATAGGGCTCAGCAGACATGGAAACCAAAGTGTACAAGAACGCATGGAGGCAGTTTAAAGGTGCACAAAACAGAGCCATTGCAGCCAATTTTGAAGAAAGCTCAGAGCAAAGAGACCAAGACAGCAAAGCATGTCCTAGGGAAAAAAAGAGTTTCTTTTGCTCCTGAATTAGAAACATATTGCGATCCCTCCAAGACTACATGGAAGGGAGAGATACAGTCACAAAGAGTTGCAAAATAAGCTTTGCATGGCACCCTAGTGAAGGGGTGCAGGGCACTCCAGGCAGGGGGTGCTATTGTGGATCACCTCACATAGGTTAAGGGGGTGATTTATTGGAGATCACCCCATGTGAGGGGTGATCATTTCTTCCATTAGGCTAACCCACTTTGGAGAGAGTGGAGGTGGCACCTTCCCACTGAAGATGGGTGGGGTTGGCAACCGCCCCACTCACAAATAAAGCCTTGACTTCTCCTCTTATCAACATGTATAAATAGAGGAAGATAGAGTAGAGAGAAGATAGGCAGCAAGGGCAGAGAAAACACAGAGAGAGAGAGAGAAAGAGAGCAAACAAGTGTGTGAGTGAGAGTGCTATAGAGAGTAAGTGAGGTGTGAGTGGTGTAAACTCATTCTGGGAAATTCTATAGTGGATATCTCTCTGTGGACGTAGGCAATTGCCGAACCATGAAAATCTCGTGTTATTGTGTGTGATTGATTTCTGGTGCCTCATAATCCTAACAAATTTTACGTTCACTTTTGAAAACTCGGTCGAAGGCGGGAAAATTTGGGTTAATTGGTCGTTCCACCGGTTGTCCGGCCAGTTGATCGGAACAGTGCAATTATTATTATTATTTTTTTTTTGCAATTGACACATGTTAATTTTCATATATTCAACAAAAAATATTTTCTGAATTTTTTAAAAATTTTTATAAACTTTAATAGAATTTTGAATTGTGTGTTTGGTTATGAGTTGTAAGTTTTTGTATCAACTATCATATGTCACATCAATTTTCCCCACTCAATTCAAAACTCTTTTCAAAACTTATTCACCAAACAAATTTTCCACACTCAAATCAAAATTTCAAAACTCACAAACTCAAAATACAACTCTTATTCTCAAATTATATTTAGAAAGCTCTACCAAACTCCACCTTAATTTTTCATTGCAATATCTCGATTTTTCATTCTTCTGTCAAATCTAAATTTTTTTATATCTCTGATCTGAAGTTATTGATCTCAAATATGAGTTCATAGGTATTAAATCTGAGATGGTGGTGGTTTAGCGGTAAAAATGGTGGTTGCCAACCGACGGTGAGGATGAACGACATTGATAGTCGATGAAGATGGTGAAGACGATGAACAATCATCCAGTTGGTGAAAAGTGAACGAGAGAGAGAGAGAGAAAGAGAGAGAGAGAGAGAGAAAGAGAGACAAAAATAAATAGATGATGTCTTTCCTCAGGACTGATCTTTACTTTCCCAACTGAACTCCTGGCCTCAAGGTAGCCACTATTTTCCCTTTTTATTATTTCAGGAAATATTTTACTGCCGTCTGAATATCCATTTTCACCATAGATGTCACTATTATCTTCTCTGTCTCTTCGACTCTGTTTCTGACAAATATTCCACGTTTGGATTGCTTCAACTAATAATCTTGCATCACTTTCAGGAGCTGAGTCATAAGACGAAACTAATCCAGACACAACTGCGGCAGAATCAAGCCCAGAAGATGCCCGCAACGCATATTGTATCATACAGCCATAAAAAAAGAGAAAACCAGGAGATGGTACTTTGCCTTCAAGGAGCTTGCACCTGCATGTAAATCATTGCCCTTGCAATTGTGAAAAGCAGAGGCAATAGCCCCAGAAAGTGAACTCATCCTTCCTGTTGCAGCGGCTGCAGCACCAGTTACAGTGCTTCTCCAACCATTGTTTCCACTCCTTATTCCGCTAACAACAGAAAGGGTAACAGGAGGACCAGATGCACAAAGGTTCTGTTGATTAAACATCTGTGAACTTGAATTTGGTGGCCAATGTACAGCAGCAGGCTTAGTCATAACACCTGATCCACAATTTTTATCGGTAAAACAAGCATCAAACGACTGGAAATTAACTAAACCCCCTGAAGGAGATACAGCAAACAGATGGCTTGTCCCTCTTGAGGAACTTATCATAATCCAGTGGCTGTCATCACTGAAACAGATGTCCTGTATAACCTGGGAAAAAAAAAATAATAATAATACTAAAAATTAGAAAATTTATATTAGCTAGAAATTCCACATTAAAGCCAAAAGATGAAACAAATATAATGCCTTACTGCATTTGTAAAACCACGTTGCAGCCTACAAAGATGTACATAAGATGCACCAGAATCTGGTCCAGAGGAACTTCCCAATGGTCCAGGCATTATTCGGAATACATTTATGTTATGGCCATGAACTGAAGCCGTCACCAAAAGCATCCCACTAGGATCAAAACATAACGATGAAATCAGACTTTTATGTGCCCTAAATTGGGTGAAAACAGATTTACTGACAATACTCTGGCAATGACCTGAAAAATAAAGGTCATATTAAGAACAAAAAGACTTTAAAATATAAATTCCAACAGTGATACATGTGTCGAGACAAATGGATCAAGTTAGAATCAGTTCTCCTCGCAGGTAACTTCATCACAAGAAAGCCAAAACAGCACAGCTCACAGAAAAACAGGTGCTAATCAATAATTGAGATAAATATTCATCCTAAGACGCCGATTCAAATGAGCGCAGAAACAAATAAATGAACACTCAAAATTCCTATTAAGTAGAACTGTGTATTGACCCAAGCAAGGCTAGAAAAGCCGAGTTCATGATAAGACATTATCATGTGTGTGTGTGTGTGTGAGAGAGAGAGACAGAGAGAGCAGCTAAAAATGGTTACAACCATAACACAAGTGGAAACAAACTTGAGAAAAAGATTATATACCATTCCAACATTTTCTGCATCTGGAAAACGGCCATTGACAGTCCCATTGATTTTAACGCCAGGACTCCCTGATTGTGCAGAATTGTTGCTATCAGGTAAGAGCTCAGAATAGTATCTTGACAGCTTCTTATATCCCATGTCCCCTAGGGTCACAATCCCAGCAGCAAGTTGCTTGCTTGACTCTTTTGCATAGTGTGCAACCAGGCTCCCATTTGAAGAAGAACCAGAAAAACTTGTAGATGGGGTGAGATGTTGTGAACTGACACGCCCAGCATTTGAAACTGCAACTGGACTTCCACTGTAAGCCAGCCACCTGGGTTCCACTGCAAGAGGTCCATAGCCTATACCTCCAAATCCAGAACACCCAGTAACTATTGGATTTGTAAGGAGAGTATACTCCCTCTCTAACGTAGCAGCATCAAAACAGTGTATCTGTAGCACATGAAACTCCACTTTCATGCTCTGATATGAGAAAAGATATGAACACTTGAAAAGTATATGACCGAACGTACTTGAGTGTAGACATTCCATTTTTGACCGTCCTCAGGACTTGGACGTCATTGTTTGTGCATATGATGATTGTGATTGCATGTGTTTGTTTTGAGTGCTCGAAATACTCGGCTGAATGTCCTACCTTTGAGCCCTAAAACCGTGTCCATTTTGTACCTTGTTTTGGACCAAAACCTTAGTTTTTCACACCCAAAACTCCAGTTCTTCAAACCTCAACACCCTGGGACCAGCAGGCCACCTCTAGTGCCTTGCCGACCACCACTGTGCCTTGTTGGCCAGTGATGTAGCCTGCCGGCCATCATTGGTGGCCTGCCGGCCACTGATGCCTTTTGCAGATATTTTCTTGATAGTTGTGCCAGTTGTTGGCACAATGAGCTTTATCACCATACACGTGTATGGACTGATTTAACTCAGCCAAATGCATGTTTTTCTATCTATATGGGGTGTCCTCCCCCATTTTTGAGGGTTATAAAATTTGGGACCAAAATAACTCTCTCTCTAGGTTTCTCTCTCTCTCTTGCAATTTTGTGTACACTTGCCTAGTTATATCACTCTTTTGCATACGCATCCTTAACCAAAATTGATCACCTTTGAGCTAAGGTTTTGACTTGTTACTTGTTTCAGTACACTTGTTTCTCTATCTTTTCCCACTGTTTTTGGGCCTTTTTTGAGCTATAAAAATCTCTGTTTTAATGGGCTGAAATTGGTGTTTTAAGCCATTTAAGGTTAAGGGGATGTCTCACCATTCTTTATTCCTTGTTTCTAAGGCTTTTGCACCTTTGTTTCCCACTTTTAAACCAATCTTTTTTGGGCCTTTAACCACTGAATTTCAGAGTATTTTCAGTGGCAAAAAACATATTTTGAAGTCCAAAATTGGAGGGGTTAGCCTCACCTCCTTGTGTCTTGTTTGCTAGCCTAGTTAACTCCATGTGTTAACATGATTTTCTAGCTTTTTGTAGCTACATTCTAGCATGTTTTTGCCTTTGTTTCAGATTGCTTTAGCTCTATTTTGGGTTGTTTGGGTCAGTTAAGTCTTGTTTTGAATGGTTGTAGTGTAAAGGTCCTCACAAGCTTGGTGTTTTAGGCCATTAGACACCCCTTGTTTGAGTTGATTGCATGTTTTGGTGTTGTTTTGTACTTCATATCAGCACCTAAAGCTCTGCAACCTCCCTCATTTCTTCACTCTTTATTTGCTTTGAAGGTTGTTTCAAACTTGGGATTCTTTAAGCTTGATATTGAGATCTATGCTTAATGGTTTAATCCTCTTCTGACGGTTCATTACCAACGGCATGAAACTTCTCTCATCCCTTAAACCACCCCTTGGTTGACACTTCTTTCACTTTAGAAAACTCTCACCAATGGACTTAATTGACTAAGTAATGGTTGGTAATTAAAATGAATAAATAAAAGTGGCAAGTAAAATTGTGCAAGGTAAGCATTTGTTTGTGTTGCATGTGTTCAATCGGACGTTAATTGAACACAAGAAGAATTGGGGCATTTTATACTTAAAGTGATGAAATGTGCCAAATTTCCAAGGTTTCCATTGCCCTTGATCATGCATGATAGGGTGATGGTTGTTGAGTCTTAGTTGTGCATTCATTAACTTGTACATCTTGGTTCTTTGGCCTTCATGCAATGAAATTGCTTGATTGGTGGTTTTGGAACAAAGTGTATCACTCATTTGAGACTGTTTTGATGATAAGGAGGGATACAGAGTACAAACAACCTGTGAGAATACCCTCTCTTTGCCCTGTTTGCTCTCTGTTGTAGCAATGAAATGTGTGTCATCAATGGCCGGCCGGCCACAGCTACTGGCCGGCAGGCCATCAATGTTGGACGACAACCCCTCAGTGGTGGCCAGTCGACCACCACTTCTGGCCTGCCGGCCACCAATGAATTTTGAGCAGTGTGCTTATGAGGCATGACAGAGTTGATCTGGAGAAGAAAATAATGCAAAGGTTGTGCAAACAGAGGCTTTCAAAGGCAGACAGCGGATGTTATTCCGGTGGAAATCGAGCATGCACGGGCCTCCCTCACTTCCCGAGACGAGTTATCTAGTTAATTAGTTTAATTTAATTAGCCTATGATTAGCCTATTTTGTAATTTAATTAGTTTGTGTTGTACTCCTTAATTAGTTAGTTAGCTAATTAGTTCAAGTGTTGTAATAATAATTAGTTAATTAGTTTAGCTAGTTATTTATTTTGTTTGTAATAATTAGCCTAATTAGCTTAGCTTAGTTAGCTTAGTTAACTTTATTCATTCTAACTCTCCTTTGTGAAAGCGTAATGTAATAATATGTATGTCTTTCAACCCCAAGTCTTTTTACCTTTTATTTGTCCACTTTTGATGGTTAGATTGGGGACATGCTTCAATTAGCATACCTTATGCCTTATGCTTGCATCCATTCATTCGTATTGCATGCACGGAGGCTCGGCGCATCATTCTAACTGTATTGTCATTTTAATACTTCTTTGAATACGTTCTTTAATCGCATGTCTAAAATCGATTCATACACTATATCAGTAGCCGAGCCTATTAGTTGCATATTGCATGTGTTGCGTTAGACATCTTGCATAGTTAGGAATCATACATATTTTTCTAACTCATATCTTCTTAGCTTGGAGTACGAGGTGAGTTTTTAGTACTTTAGCATACTTGCATGAGTATGAGTGATTGCCATGACTAGCATGCTTGCCATGAGGCTAAATGCTTAAGTGATGAACTACTTGGATGCCTGTGGATGAAGACCTGTTACTTGAATTGAAACGATTCAACGAATGTATGTTTAAGCCCACTATGTCTAGTGGCAAATTCACTGATTTAAGCCCACTATATTTAGTGGCAAATTCGCAAACTTTAAGTCCACTTGAGGTGGCAAAATCAAACCCTTTTCGCAAAAGAAACATGAAATTGAGTTATTCCAATTCAGGCAAACTAGTCTATACTTGCTTGTGCGCATCACATAGTAATGCTAGTTTAATAACCGGAATAAGAGCACATAATGTTGATAAAAAATCATATCATGATTAGTAGAGACCGATCTTTGATCGGGCGAACGGGAGTGCTCAATTCATGACCTTCCCTTTTCGTACCTAAGTTCCTGAGCCGAGGCAACTTTGGTGATGACAGACACGTGGCCTTTGGCACAAGTCATGGGTTTCCTAAATTTCCCCAAAAGAAAATATTTAGGTGGCGACTCTATATCTGGTAAAGCAGTCCAATTTTGACATTTTTGATTCAAAAATCGATTTTTCAAAATGATTTGCCGGATTAGACTCTTTGGTGTTTATCAATTTCACATTGCACTTGTGAGATTAGATTCAGAACCGCAGGAGTCTGAACTATAGGGCTTATTTCTGAGTTTCCGAAAAGGAGCGTGAAAAAGTCGAGCTACACTGAGCTGCTTGTAAGACAGCAACAACTCGGGTGCTGCACCTCAGTGAATAAACAACTTATTTGAACTTAAGCTCATGTACATAAGATTGAGATCTCAAGGAATAAAACGAAATAACAGTTGGCGTAAGACCACCATTTAGTGGATCATGGCAATTTGAGGTGCTCCCATTATATGGAGTTGCTAATGTATCCTGAACTCCATAAAGGGCATCTGTACAAACAGCCAATAGTGGGCGACTATCTACAAATTTGTCGCCAAATATCTTTGATGCTATTGTTTAGGTAACATTTGTATAAATGAAACTAGGCCTTCATGTCTGGAAACAAGGTCACACACATTATTTGCTTCTTCAACATCCCAAACTTGAAAACCAGACCGATAGCCCAGAGAACTTGCCTGGCGATGCCCCCCTCGCATTCTAATTTGTCAAACCCAGCCTAGAGAACTCAAAAACATGAATTTATAGTGAAAATGAACCTCCGAAGAATTAATTCTCAAAGAGAGAAAGACAGCTTGCACTTTAACTATCATAAACCACTCATAAATATTGTTGCCCATGCATGTGGACATGCACAGAGATACTGTATACTTAATGTAGACGTGAAAGGAAAAGTTGAAGAACCCTTGGGATAATAGATCATCTATTCCAAATGTAGAGCATACCTATACCCATAACATCTTTGTGCATCACCATTAACAGTCCATTTCAACACCACAGTGGAATTTTTTTTTTTTTGGATATATACACCACAGTGGAATATGAAAGCTCAAAATGTCGTTATTGCTTATTATTCATTTGTGAATCCTCTTTTGTTTTCATATATAGATTTTAAAGGGTAAATTTAAAAGAATGTTGAATACAAGTCTTGTGGTCATATGCTTTGTATGAGAACTAATGAGTTGAGAACTATGCAAAGAAAGTCACTTGAAAGGTTGAGACCTTGTGGCCAAAAGAAAAAACAATGAACTTAACAAAATAATACCGTGTCAATAGAACAAACTAAAATCACCCACTTCATGTGACATCTAAAAACATAATAATAAATAAAAGATTAAAAAACTAACGGTAGAAGACTCAAAGGTGTCCAATTACAAGAACCAAAGAGCCCACTTGCAACAAACGACACACCTCTAAAATTGTTTGATTGTTGAAACATATACGTGGCAAGTCCACTAACAAATATGATGAATCTCCAATGAATCAACCAACAGCCGATAACCCAGAAAACTTGTCGGATTATCAAAACAAACACATGGAATATCCACGAGCAAATGTTGTAGAGACCCTAATTTTTGTAATTACCGTCAAATCCCCAACCTTGAGTTTATTTCAATAAAGCCCTTGAATTTTTGCTTAATTGCGTTTTAAACCCTAGAATCGAGAAGCATCGTGGATTAATTCAAGTAAACCCTAATTGATCCCATAGATTAATAATCACATTTAAAACCATATTATTAATTATTAGACCCTATCATCATATATTAATCACTCTAAAATCTTAATTCCCGATAACGCTGTTTTCGCTCGGTTTCTTGCCCTTCTTTGCGCTTT